TCCCTCCTCTTCGCTAGACTGGGACCTGACGCAGTAGGTGCGCGGAAAGGGAAGGGAAAAGAAAAGAAAATGTCTACAAACTTTATGGGGACCCTTTTGATTGATGGAGCGGAAGCGAGAGGGATCGGTGGGGATTTGAGGTGGTTTGGCGGGTTGGCGGGTTGGCGGTTTGTAGTAGGAGGCCATGCTGATCGAGGTCCTTGATTTTCTGGATTGGATTGGAAGATTGGATTGACATCGACGATATCCCCGCGGGAATGATCGGTGATGTTCGCTTCGCTACGGTTGGGCATGGGGGATAGAAAGATCATCGGGAGTTGGTTGCTGGAGGCATGGATGCGATATGGTTGTTGTGGATGGTGGTGATGATGATGATGATGATGATGACGATGACTCAATCATATTGAGTATCGAGAGCCGTTTTACATAAGATGAACCTCTTACAGTGGACGAATGAGTGGGCGTAGGTAGTATACCATACATAAGTTACAGCGGTGTCTGTGGATCGCGGGCGAATGAGTTGATAGAGACTAGACGATGGAGTTCTGACTACGACCCCATAGGTAATCGATACCTGGGATGGAAGACGAAAAAGCAAAAAAGAAAGAGGCAGGGAAAGAAAAAAAATGCAGAAGCATAAGGAAAGGAACAACAGGCCAAGGAACTCTCGATTGAAACAAAGACCTCTTACCGACCACAAGGCGATCGTGCATGGATCCTCACGCTCAGGAAAGAATAGGATTGGAATGGAGCAACGATGATGAGATTGTGCATGTGCAAGTATCATGGGATGATTCGGGTGTAGTAAGCGGGTAAGCTATCCATCCTTCGCTCGTTGTTATGATGGAGAATACTATTGTTGAGGGGTGAACAGAGAAGGATCCGATGAGAAAAGGAAAGATGGATGGATGGATGGATGGATGGATGGAAGGAAGGAAGGAAGGGTTGGGGATTGTCGTCCAAGTTACCCCGCATCATCTTCTTGGGGGCCCATCCGTTCTGTCAATCGTTCAATCGTTCAATCATTCAATCATTCAATCATTCAAATTCACTCAGTCAATCAACCATTTCCATTCCATTCGGTCTGCATCAAATCCAATCTATTTGATTGTCTTGTCTGTCTTTCCCTTCGCTTCCTTTCGAGACACGATCATCGGCCAATACGATCTTCAATCTAATTCGGGTAACTGATAGCTGGCTGTTCATGGGATGAATAGTTTTGCTGCACAATCTCCAGCATCTTGTCTGTTTCCTCTTCGGGACGCATCGCAGGGCTGACTGGATGAGACTGGCTGGCTGGCTGGCTGGCTGGCTGATTTGCAAGTGAACGAATAGATGCTAGCACCGGAACAAAGCCTGCAGATTGTTGCTATCGTGATCTGTCTTTCCTTTTCTTTTTTCTTCGCCGATTGAGCTTGACAACACTGGCTGCGGATTCTGCAGAAAGGCCGCTGCCAGTTTGGCGACGCATGGATGCGTTGGCTCGTAGACTGAATCTTCCTTGGAGCTCTCTTGCCTCTCGTCCGCGCGCGCGCATTGCCAAAAACTCGTTATCGAGGAACAGGTCTTTCTTTGGTTAGGTGTATCATTTCCTCTTTTCCGTGGTCGTTGTCGGTTCCTCCTGCGACCTGCAGCACTGCACCCAGCCCCAAAGTACCGTGCATCGACCGTCCTCTACCAAACCAGGCAGCCTTTTCGTTCTGCAGACGCAGCCACCCCAGCTAGTCTCGGCTGCCTTCTTCGACTTGTGAATAATTCCTTCCCGCTTTCTGAGCTCAGTCCCACAGACCTTATTCGAATCCTTCTTCACCAGCTTTCCTCATCCGACTCCACGTGTGACCGGAATCCATAGTCAAATCGACGGCGCCCTTCGCTGCCGGAGTCGTCGAAGTCAAATTCCTCGTCATCAGACCGCGCATGAATTCGGTATTTACTGTAGATAGCCGTCACGTCCTCATCCTCATCGTCCCACGACAATTCTTCATCCGGATAATCATTTGCGGGATTATTCTCAGCTGTGTCGTGCCATGCCCGTTAGCCCTTCAATCCTTCATCCTTCATCCTTCGCTCCTCCCTGTCTTCACAATCAGACGGGACCTTGCGCTTGGACTTACCATTCGAGTCTGCATCTTCGCTGTCCCACCGTTCTTCATCCTCCTCTTCCTCAGCGAAATTCTCCCAATATTCTTCGTCCTCTTGCGTAATGACAATAACCCCAATGTCCTGACGAGTCATATCGATGCCGTGTTGCTTAAACCAGGCATCATGGTCCAATTCCAGGTTGGCTAGCGGGTCCGTAAGCATGCCACTAACTGGAAGCGGCTTTCGAATGTACGTATCGTAGACATATTCGCCGTCGCTCTCCTCGTCATCATCCTGCTCCGCAGGCAGGGCATCGGTCACCGTTGCGGCCGAGTGAAGATCCTGTACAACGCTGCCCTCCCCGGGCTTTTGCGTAGGGCGATGTTTATTGGGCGTTCGCGGTTGGTACTTCAGGGGCGGCTTGGGCATTCCCACCGAATGAGACGGCAACGGCTGCCCACCTTCAAAAGTCGAGGACCCAATGTTGCTCTGGGGGTTATACGGCCCCGCATGCTGCATGCCCACTTCCATCTCCGCATCCAACTCCAGGGCCACCTGTTCGAGCTCCTTTGCGAGTCGCTCCGACTCATCCTCCCAGGTGCTCTGGTGAGAAGCCTGGGATTCCTGATCCAGAACCTGGGAGATATGCTGCTTGGCAGCCGAGATGGCGCTCTTGCGCTCTTCTCTCCATTTCCTTTCCGCCTGGTTTACCACGGGCCGCTTGCGCGGTCGAACGGCTGCCCCCGTCCCACCAGCACCAGAGCCCGAACTCGAGATCCCATCCAACCCTTCAGCACCAGCAACCGCATCCGCCACCAAGGACGCCTGCCTCGAATGGGGCTTGCGCTTTAGCTTTTCCACCAGAATCGCGACGGGCCCGTCCCCTTTCCGCTTCTGCACCCCCGCACCCGTCCCCCGGAGGGTAGTGTTGATCGGGGTGCTGGACCGGGAGATCTGGAACCGCCGCAGCGACTGCTGCGAGGCAGCTGCGGATGACGAGGAAGCGGGACTCTCGTGCCCACTGGAGGCGGCGGCGGTGGGCCCAGCGGCACCACTGTCGAGGGCCGGCGAGCGACTGCCGGCCGGCGATGAGTGCAACGCTCGCTTCAGCTTCTCGTCGTGCTCCCGCCGTGCGGCGGCGAGGCGGCGCTCCTCGCGGAATTCCGCCCCGGGCGATGTCGCCCGCACCAAGGGGACACCACCGTCCGCCGCAGTGGTGCTCGAAGGGAACAGACCACTGCTCACAGACCGTGGAGTGCGGATCACCCGTTGCTGGCCGGACGCCAGGGGCGGTGGACTGGAGGATGTTCCGCTAGTAGTGCCCTTGCGACCATGGCCCTTGACCTGGACTCGTTGGAAAACAAAGTCTGTAAACCTTCGTTTGGTTTGATGAAGCTCTGATTGGATATCTGTTGAGGTGAGTCAGTTCTAGTTCTGGGTGAAGCAGAAAAGGCCGTAGTATTGGAATTTGGATAGACGTGATTGTCACCAGGTCAGAAATCTGAGGAAACGGCTTCTTATGCAATGAATGGTTGGGAAAAAAAGCAATCAAGCAAGGGTCCTTCTCACATAATGTGTCGACGGGCTCTTCTTCGCGACGCCGCTTGATATTAATTTGCTCCGGGGGCAGAGACATTCTGAGGTAGTAGCAAGAAGGCTGTGAAGGTGGGATTTACACGGCTACTGATGAAGGCGAAGTCAAAGCTATGATGGAACCTTGAAGCTGCTTGGGATGTTCGATCATGGTAATCCCTGTTCAGGTTAGCGCTATCTGGCCGGTCTTATCATCACGTGACCGTAGATGTTTTTTCCATGCTACCAGGTCGGGCAAACCATCAACAAATTACCCCAAATAGTGGGTGGAAACAGTACTGTACGATCCGCATTACTTGCACCCTTACACATATTAACCAGGCATTGTCATTTTCTTTGCTCTTGAGGATAGCCCTCCTCGTCTCTCCTATGTTGTTTGATGGTGGTAGCGCTATCGTTATCCAGTATCAATTACCTCCGCCTGCTATATAACCCTTGCCGTTATTCGAAAGCAACAAGGGGAGCTGTGTGCTCTGAATCAAGTTCCGTCGAATGGCATCACATATGCAAATGGGCAGCTTGAAACATAAAGAACAGACCGAAGCCAACCGATCTGCGGTGCAGCCGAGATCCCGCCCGCTTTCGTAGCCAAATGCAGATCCAATAAAATAATGTAAGTAGCCAAAAGAAGAGAAGCAGAGAAGGGAAAGAGAAGGAAAGAAGGGGCAAATGAAGAAGAAGATCAAGAAGAAGAAGAATCATACCCAGCTAGCAATACAAGTGTTGGTATATGAAGAAATGAGGGAATTAAACGGTGTAAAGTGGTGTGGTCAAGAAACGAAACATTTAGACAATTAGAGAAGGTGAAAAACCACAAGGGGCGACAAGCCAATACAGAGAAAGGGATCAAAAATGGTGACACTGAAGGTAATGGCAGATGCCAAAATGCGGGCATGAAATTTTGAAACCACCCAAGGGATTTTAGAAAAGAGATATTCGTCGCAGCAATCATTTGGCTCCAATCTCCTCTTCAGCCCAACCAGGAAGCGAGCTTTCGTTCTGGATTGCCAGTCCGAAGCCTGCGTGCTTGAGGCCCCCAAGAGCGGATGAGAAACTAGAGAAGCTGCTTTGAGGCTGATGAGCCATTCCCGAACGAGGTGGTCCAGCCTGGCTTGAAATATGCCCAAAAGGCTCTTGAGAGAATGAAGGCAGGCTGACAGCTCGAGAGTGCTGTGCGCGAGGTACACTCAAGCCACCCGTGCTGGCAGTTGAATGGTGACCAGGTCCCGATGAACCATTTGTCACATTCAGAAACCCGTTGATGGAAGGCTTGTGCTGATGTAAAGGAGCTTCGATACTCCCGTTGCCGAGCTCGCCAGTGCTTGCTGTGTTGTAGAGACTTTGCTGCTGAGGGGCTTGGGAATGAGACTGGAGCGCAGCGAGGGTCATCGGATCATTCAGCCGGTTCTCCTGCTCCTGAGATTGCTGAGCCGACATTTGGTTGAGATACATTGTCAGTGGATTGTTGGCTCCGACATTGAGAATGCCCGACGGCGAGGAGACTTGCTGCAGAGGATGTCTGCCGGGGTGTCCATTCTGAGAGCCAGTGGACCCAGGGGCAGGTGACAGAGCGGGATGAGTTGGGCTGGATCCAGAGCCGGACTGGCTCAGGGTCTGCTGATAACCGTTCAGGGCCGGAGAGGGGGATTGTGTGCCTTCCATTCCTGAACCGTTACGGCCTTGCTGGCCACCGTTACCAGCCTGACGCGGAGGGTTTCCACACCGGTCCTTGCCAAAGTTGATCTTAAACCGCTTGTACTCGTCCCGGTTTCGCATTCCCTCGATCGCTTTGATGGCATTGGCGATGTTAGTGAAGTTGACGAAAGCGCAGCTCTTCTCGCGCAAGGTGTTAACAAGCTCAATCTCTCCATATTCCGAAAAGTCCTGACGCAGACGTTCTTCCGACCAGGTCTCGTCCAGGTTTCCAACATAAACATTCCGCGAAGCACCTCCGCTCACAGCGAGAGCAATCGCTGGGGGGAGGGGTCCCGAGTGTTTACCCCATCCGATCTTCAAACGACGGTTATGGATCATGAGGCCCTGAAGATTGCTCAGGGCATAGAACGAAGCCGCCGAGGTCGGGTCAATAAAGGTGACAAAGCAGATGTGCTTGTCCGGAATATAACGAATGTGGTGAAGAAGTCCGCCACGTACGACATTACAGATTTCCTCAATTGTGGTTTCAGGGTGGATGTTGCCCAGGTAGATAGTGCGGTTACCGAGGTTGTTGACGCCACCAGCTGTGGTAGCCACGGCTGCGGCGGCAACAGACTGTTGAGCGAGCGCATTCGTGATTAGGTCACGGTCTGCCGAGTTAAGAATATGAGCGTATCCTGGAGCAATGCCCAAGAATTGGGCGGCGTTCTGCTGCTGGGTCTTTGAGACGTATGCACATCGGTCTTT